CAGCAAAAATACCGACAAACTTCAGACAATCTTTTTCTTCTTTTGTGTGTGTGTGTGTCATTTAAAAATGAACACAATTGAGATTGCTCTTTGTTCAATAGTTTAAATCAATTTTATTTGTTTATTTATTTTCTCGATTTATATTTCGAATCAATGTTTTTAATGAGAATCTAAAATAGAATGTACAGGTACACTATATTCTTCAGAATAGTGTGTATCTGTACACATTATTTGATAGGTCAAAGTGTACAAAATATACAGAAGATAAATATTGTTTGCCTTGACCAGATCTTTTTTTGTTTTTGAAAGATGATATTCTCATGGAGATGGTAATGAATTCATCTTATTGTTTACATTCAATGCTTGTACATGCAGTTAAGATTTCATATCAGAGTTTTTTTCGATTTCTATGATATTCTTTTAACAGATGCTCCACTATGAATGCGCAAGTACATTGAAGTTGAAATTTTCTGAAGATAGGCGTCCTTCCCAGATGTCATAGTCCTCTCTTATTCTCAATTTGTGCTATGCTGTTTAGAACAACTGAAAAAAGTACGCTTTCTTGGGGGAAAAAATCTCAGTTATAATGCAATTCTACATACATGATAGAACACCTGCTAATGTTCAATACATAAACTTTTAAGCATAAAAGTATCAAAATCTTGCAAAACAAAGTGTAAAAATGAAATTCAGTGTGTATAGCGTACATGCTATTTTTTTTCTTCAGTGTGTAAAACAGTGTGTATTTTCTGTTCCATTAGGATACCGTACATTTTGTTTTCCACGGTTCACTCTTTCATTAAAAACACATGATCGAATCATTAAAAGAAATAACGATGTCAATTATCAAGAGGAAAGGTCCTCAAGTTGAGCATCTGAACTGATCCACACCATATTCGTGCTGATATTTTGAGTGCATGTAAGAGATTTTATTTTAAAAAAACTTAAGAGGATTTAGACTCATGCAACTTATTTCAATGCATATGATTATAGTCAATCTTTCCATAAAAAAAGAAGTCACTTTAATACATCTTGTATGACTCACATGAGAACCGCTTCCACTTCTCATAGGGTAAAATTCTATATCATCGGCAGAAGTAGATGTAAATGAGTTTAAAAAGATATCATAAAGAGGATACATCAAGGGAGACACAGCTGAAATCAAATTTTTTTATTCAAATGATTGTGAATTTGAAGACACAAACATATTCCTCTTCTTCCAGGATTGTCCTCCCGATTATTCATATTTTCCTTTTCCGTCTCTCTCTCTCTCTCTTAATTCCATATATAAACGTGTATTTCATTGTGAACGATGCGATTGATGATTGGAGGAAACTAAATAAAGCATAATTTCATCAGCACTAGTACTTCTATCAAGAAAATCTGTTAGCACAATTTCTGTGAGATTAAAATCTGAAACACAATGTAGCGGTTGTTGCTAATCATATGAAAGTTGTCTTATTCGATCTATTTTGCAACTCATTTCTTCATTATGCTTTACTTACCCCCCTAGAATTGCAAACAGAAAGCAATTCATATGTTCTAATGAGATATTAGTCGTAGGTGGACCTTGATCCTATATCAACAACGTCTGTCATGATCTTGGAGGGGGGGGGGGGGGGGGGGAAGGGGTAAATTTTTACTCCACATATTTCAACAGTCTTTTTAGATTATACTGAAAAGATGAACATCGTTAGACAATATAATTAACACAAAATATGTTCATTAGTGCGTATTGTATGAGGGGAGAGGATAGAATGTTTTACTAACCAGTTATGTTCATCGAATGATGAATTTCAAAAATTAAATGTTAATGGTTCAGAGCGTATGGGTAGGGTGCGGGTATACCTGTGTGTGAATAAGGGTGTTCTCCTCACCCACGATAACGTCCCACACCCATTCACAGTAACATCAGGAGAAGGAGAGAATAAATGTTCATACATCATAAAAGATAGTGAAATGCAACACAGGATATAAAATAATGGAATGTGGGTCACAGTGAGCCACCAGAAGAATATGACCTCAAATTCTATTTTCCAAAGTTTAAATATTGAAATGAATACGTCTATGATTCGTCTATCTCACGCTAAAACTAGATTTCCAGAAATCAAATCGAATCCTCGAAAAGCCCATTGTTAAAAAGATTGTTCGTAAATCAATAATTATACGAAGGCTATTTCTTTTATCAATTTGTCACTATATTTTTCAATGAAAACTATTTGAAACGAAGGATTGACCCATAAATTTTGTTACGTAAAAATAATTATTTCGTTTGAACCAGAAATGGAATTAAAAAAATGATTACTGGGTCGAAACTAGGTCAAAAAATGGATCATATAGTATTTTCCGAAGGCTACAAAGAGCTTTAATCTGATTGAGCTCAAATTTTCGTCGATCATTCTTTCAAGTGAGATTTACCGTTGTTCATAGCGCCGTATCGCATAAGTCAATACAAGATGAGTGAAAGGTCTTCTGAGAAACCAGATTTCTACTCCAGAATCACTAGTTCTGAGAACATGAGAGTGTTTTAAGACAAAACCATGGTAATATTCGAAATCAGCTTGTCAAGTTGCAGTGAATCATATAAATCAGTGAATGTTTCTTAGGAAAAAAGTCGGTTCCTGTGCCCAACAAGGTTTTGGCTATGGATGTGGATGCGGGTGTGTGGCTGAATGAAAGACCAACATCCACATCCACACTCACAGCCGCGGCCACACACTCACACATCCTCTTATAATTGATTGCTTTTTTTCGCTATCTCTGGAAAATCTTGATTATGTTTCGTCAGCGATCTCATTTTAACATTGTGTCACCGTATGCAACCCGCATGTTTCCTTTTTTTAGCTTAGTTCATCATGCGGTTTTAACATCGCATACTTAAAATTCAATTCGTCATTTTTAGTGAATTGTTGAATGTGGTAGATAGCAAAAAAAAATATTTGTTATAAATAAAAATATTGACTTTATACAGAGTAAAATAGCTTGAAGATTTTCATAAACAGTTGTTGTTGACGGCAAATAATGCTATTTGCATTCTTTTCTCTATCATAACAAGAAAAAGACATGTTTCTATAGACAAAATACGAGAAAGAAAATATCTGGATTGACTTACAGGCTAATTATAACTTTCTGGTGTGTTTTTCTTCGTTCTTCTCAGAGAAATCCTCGATTTATATTGACTTATTCCGACTCATTTCTTCCCTGAAAAACACGTAAATACATAGATTGATGAATGTTAGGAGAAGAAGTGCAAATAAAAATATATTGGAATATTCAAAAAAAAAACATAACAAGAAGAACCAATGACTTGTTTTGTTTATGAAACAGGAATAGAATTTAACTATTATGATTACCACCTATATCAGTTTCTTTTTCCCCCCCACTATTCTTCGGTGTATTAGGACAAGAATATTCAAAAACCGTTACTATCAAAGCTATTTAAAGAAATAAATTATTAAACTTTTTTCATTTCAGTTTTACTTTTGTTTTATCAGCAAGCGCAATAATCATTTGAATTTCTTCAAATATCACATTCACGACAGTAAGTAAATTTTATATTGATCATCGTTTAGTAGTTTAAAATGATTCGATTTCTTGAGTATAAAAGATAAATTTCCTAAGTTCAATTCAACCACATGAAAGAATTGTGACTGTCTAAACAAAGTTGGTTCTCAGAGTAAGTTTAACTGTTCAACAAACTCGATTCAGGGTGTAAATGTGAATGGAGAGACGATCCATCCACACCTACCCAGAAATAAAAATATAATTCGCTTGAATATGTAAAAAAAAACATAAGCACTATTATTGAATTACAATTTGTGGCTGAAGAATCGGTATGTTTTCACTCGTTCTTTACATGTTTGCGGTAACGCTCAAAACAGTACGTGACATTATGGATGAGAAAGTGATGTCAAACCTAAGTCAGGCTTTGTCAAAAAAAAACAGGAACTGACTCAGCTCGAAGTGTTAGACAAAAGTATGTGCGCATTAATACCATTTCAATAAAGATTCTCAAATTTATTGCAAACAATCTTCTCTGTTTCCCAAAACTTAAATTACTCAAAATATTTTAACAGCAAAGTTTAAGTATGTTTTTTAATTTTGGGGACCTCCTCGATTTTTTCCTAGCTCAAAATTAAACAATGATTATGATAAAAATATTAAAAAAAATCAATGCACATTTATACTTTTTACTTTATTTTATGCTTTATCTTTTCATACTGAAATCTACGTAGTATAATATTGTGTAACGTTTTTTGTTGAAATAAGCTATGCATCAATGATATTTATTAAAATTTCTCCAAGATTGACAATAATGTGTTTAGTCTACAGAGTTTCGCTTTAAAAATGCAGATCTCTTAAGATTTCAATGTATGAAATAGCAAACGAAATGATCATCAAAGCAAATAAAACCGCAAAAACACATCAAAGAACAAGAACAACATGAACGAGTTCATACGTTGAATTGACAATGAGTCATTTTTTACGATGAAGATATAAAACCTTGCTGAAAGCATAAGATCATACGAGCGTTCCTATTGGAACAACCGATTATTTTGTACGTTGAAGTCTACACTTGTGTAGAAGAGTAGTACTACGACTTTTCAGTTGATGTAATTTTCCACAAAACTAAATTATTATCAAACTCTTTCGTTTGTTCATTTCAATAGAAACGTTTCTTTCACTTTCGTACTTTCGAAATGAACAGTAGACGTGATTCAGCTTCTGTAGAAATGCTCCGCAAAATTGTGTTTCTGTAAATCATTCACATTCAAATTTCGTATAGAAGGTTCGCATTAGATAAACATTTCTGTTACTTTCAGATATTCTAGGGATTTAAAGTAGATTTCAACTAAATGTTTTGTATGATAGGACTAAATGAATAATTTGTAGAATTCTATCGTATTTATTATAGACAGAAAATTCATTCATTTCTGAATTGAGATGCAATAAAAAAGGGTCTCATTTTTTTGAAAATCAAAATATACACTACATTTAAGATGTCTGGTGGACACAAAGTAATCGCAACGGAAACTATAAGTCAAAAATATGGTCAAATTGATGAAGTTCAATATGAATATGACGAAAATAATTATGGAGAAGGTAAAAAATATCATATCAGATGGTCTCGACAAGAATACGAACGGATTACATCGAGATTATACAAACCATCAATGTCGTATGATAAATTCATCAAAGTACTACGCACATTTATGCTGGGAAAATATGCAATTGAAGATGTTCCGGAAGCATTTCGTCTTCTTGATACTAACCGTTCTAACACAATCGATATCACTGAATTACATGAATTTATATGTGTCATCTTGCCAAAAGCAAATCCATATTTACTTCTTCATCAAATAAAAAAGGCTGATAGAGATGGCGATTATAAGCTGAATTTCAATGAATTCAAATCGTTTATCGAACAAGGCTTCGGTCGAGATGTATCGGTTGGATGTTTATAAAAAAACCTATAAAACATTTTATTTGTGCGTTCTTACTATGATAACTAAGCATGACTGTACGCTTCAAAAACAAAATTGTAGCTATGTAGTGCTTTTTGTCTCGTTTGATGCCAACATAAAACCAAAATAATCGGCTTCTGTCATTATGTGAATATTATATATGCTTGAAAGTTTCTTGTTTCGTAATAATTGTAATCGTGCAATTTTTAATCATTCATTATGACATTTGGTAAATGAGTATATCGAACAATCGAAATTGCAGAGGATCGAATGGATATACGTGTGGGTGTAGATGTGAGTGTGGTGTGCGCGTGAGTGTGGGATGGGCCCATCACACCTCCCCTCCCCCCCCCCCCCAACGCCAACTTTCCCACATCATACTCTCACATAGAATATAACATATGTAATGAATATTTTTAAGTCATATCATAACATGAAAACCGGTGTATTGTATTGTTGTATTTGACTTCATTTAGTTTCCTGACATGATTTCATCAAAATATAGCTTGAAGCTGATGTTCTAAAGCAATAAAATTTGGTAAAAGAATAAAACGAATTATAGGTTCATGTTTACTTGTATCATTTTCGTCAAAAACTTCTCGTTATTAGTAACTGGAGCTCTTCTTGGTTAATGTGAAGCAATAAATTTTCTATTATCATTTTCTAAAAAGAACAGAGGTAAATAGAATACTTATAACTTTTTAATGGAAAGAGCTGGAGAGTTGCGGTTTTCAGCATTCGAAAGAGAACAGTGGGCGACACAAGCTCATGTAAGAATGGAAAATTTTCGGAGTGTTTTCCAGGCTAGCTCTAGCGATGCAAAGTTGGGAAAATAAGCAATTTTTCTAAAAAAACATCTTAGTTCATTT